CAGTATTGTTTGTTTCAGTATTCACTTTTTACACCTCTTCATTATTTTTTCCTCTGATGTTTGGACTGACGTACTCCTCTTCCTCACAATATATGTCGTCCCTAACTCTCACCTCTTGCCTAGCGTTGGCCATCTATTCTTACTAAGTTCCCATAGACAGCGCCAAATTGTGGGTGTTGATTTTTGATCTCAGAACCAGACATGAAACTTAGCTATAGAGCACACGGCAGAATAGATCAAACCAAACATCTACACACAAGAAGATAAGAATACCACGGTGGCTCGTCCACCCGAGGGCATTCCGACGATCAAGTCAATCACTTATCGCTCAAAGATATCCACTCAATCAACAGTGCACAAGTAAAATCATACCTTAAACCCATGAGGGTGCCTTACTTTTATAACTAACGGTGTCCTCATCCCCTAGAAGTCTCACTTCATAGGACTCAAGCATAATACTTATTTTAGACTCTTAGTTAGATAAGAATGATCCCAATGAAGAGCCTCATCTCTATCTGAACCAAGCGCCTCAACTTATTTAGGACTCTTGTTCTCTATTCGAATATCTCGGATTTCAATATTGTCGTACCATATCCCGACAACATCACAATAATCTCGGCATCACGGCTTATCCACGTGGCATATCGGCCAACACCTTGGCCACGTGGTGCGACCCTGAAATTATGTTCCCATACTATTAGTTTTGTCTATTTAATTTCTAAAATTAACAATTTAAGTTTATGTTGTTTAATTGGAGACAATTGTCCAAATTAATAACGATTAAAGTTTATTTTGATAGGCAAAAAGGTAATGCCAAAATTTGAACAACTTAAAATATACAACCAAATATTCAAACTTTTTATTTACTATTTTAAAATGAAGTTTGGAGAAGAAGATGGACATTTGGTTGTAGGGTGTAAGTTGTTGAATATTAGTGTGAGTAAGAAGATGTGTATTTAATTGTATGATTTAAGTTGTTTAAATTGTAAAAAAGATAAATTAGATTAATCTCCCTAAGGTTTGGGTTAAGGAATCAAGAACTAATATAGATGGCTTGAAGGCACAAAAATAGCTAACGAAAATAAATTTAGGTGGTGTTTGATGAAATTGAAAATTAAAAATTGAAAACTAAAAATGTTAAACTAAAAAGTTCTTTAATAAAAACTTGAGTGTTGAATCAAAATAAGTTTTTTGATATGTACAAAAAATAAATTTAATATTTATTATTTTTAAATTATTTCTTTCAAATTTTATATTGTGATAGTTTCGATTTTTATGTTGTGATAGTGATATAGTGGCAGTGGTGGAGGTACGGTGGTGGCATTGATTATGGCGCCAATGACAATAGTAATAGAGGTCAAGGTATAGTGGTTGTGGTGATGGTAAAGGGGCAATGTAGTGAAAGTAAAAATGGAGTGGTGGTGGTGGTTGTAGATGTTATAATAGTTGTAGTGAGGTAGTGGTAATGGTAGTAACAATTGTGGTCATAGTAGTGAAATGATAACAATGTCTATGATCACAGTAACAATGACAATGGAGGTGATGAGGGAGGGAGGGTAATGATAGTGGCAGGTGGTGACACCATTAGCAATGGTGGCGACGACGACATTTTTGAGATCATAATGTGTATGTTGATGCTTATATATATGTATTCATAAATTCAATTAAAATTAAGTAAGTTTCTTATTACTCAAATTTTTCTTAACTTTCAATCAACATTTTAAGAGTCACTTAATTTTTAAGTGATACTTATTGTGCTTATCAAATGGGTTTAATTGATTTTTACTTAATACATTCAGTTTTAAGTGTTAAACTGCCATCTAGTATGCCAAGTTGGAGGACTAATAAAACAGAGTTGGGAGAAGTTAGCCAAGGCTTTCGTCACCCAATATTCTTACAACACCCAGATTGCGGTAAGCATCTGGGAACTGAAGGCAACCCGATAAGTGCCCAACAAGAGCTTCATGGCATTTCTCACTAGGTAGAGAACAAAGGCAGCCATGATGACAAGCCAACCCTTGGAAAAAGATCAAGTTCGCATGGTTGTCAAAAATCTGCATAGAGGATTACTGCAGAGAATGATAGTTCTCTCACTCTTCAATTTCAAGGACCTCCATGAGATTGGGGTTCAAATTGAGGATACTATCAAACAAGGGATCATTACAGAAGGAAATGAGCCTGTAAGAAAGATGTTCAATCGCAGTTTCAATGTTACTCCCAGTAGTAGCACAACTGCCAATGCTGCCAATTCCATACCCTTAGAAATCAACACGGTCACCACTTTTACCAAAATGGAAAACCTTTTTGCTGATATCGATCCGCAACCAACCACTTCAACCCGACCTTGAAACTGAAGGTTTCACCCTCTCCACATGTCCTAATCTGAGCCATGAAAGTTTTAGAGAAAAAGGAGTACCTCAAGCTCCTTGATCCCCAACTTTTTCCTAATCCACTTCCACATAGCCATGATCCCACCAAGTATTGTGCCTTCCACCAACAACACGGTCATGATACTGACCGTTGTTTTCAACTTCGTTGTGGGATTCAAGATCTTATTGATAATAAGATCATAGCTCCACCCCAAAAAGACAAGCTTACCTCCAACCCATTGCCACCCCATGACAAAGTCCCACCACCTTCCCATCTTAACCTTATCCATATACTACCACCCACCTTCAACCCTAGCATATACATCACACCTTCTCATTTGCTCAAGCCTGAGGTGCTTATTCCAGAAAGCGTTGGTTTATTCATGATATATGCACCTCGATTCCAACCAAAACCCCAAAACTCTGTGGTGGAAGATGATCTGGAGCCAAACTAAGATATTGGTAGATATTCTCATGGGCATGCACTTCCCTCCTTATGGTTTTCTTGAGCCATGGATTGATCAAGAAGCAAAGAAACATTTGAGAAGTTCTATCTTAGTGTTAAATAGACAATAACATATTTTTTTCATCGATATAAGTAATGAATTATTAATGAAAAAATATATTGATAATATAAGAATTCAATTTTCCTACAAATTCGCACAACCGTAAGGGTTGCTTTATTAGAAGTGTTTGGCCAGAAAAATACTCCAACTGTCAAGTCAGTATCTTTTCTTCTAGGATAAACGACCAAAATTGTAAAAATACATTTTGTGGAGATTGTTTTTGTACCATTGTCTTATTACTCTATCGAACCCTTTTATCTCAAATATTATCATTAAATTATGCTCCCTTGGCGTGATATCATCTAATTTATGACTTAGTCGCCATTTTAGTGTTATATATCTGTTGCGTGGCGTCGTTATGCCATCATTCATGTTAACTTGATCGATTATGTGTCCATTTCCTTGTCGACCAAAAGTCTTTTGTATTATCTTATCCCATTGGACGGGGATGTAGTCTTATTACCCTTTCTTATCATGAGCCTCACAATTCTCCTTTGGGCTCTATGTGTTTGGCCCCATCTTGTTATGAACCAATCAATGTTAAATTTTTTCTAACCATTATAAGGAGTTAACGTGTTATATGAATTAAAATCTTAAAAAACTTATGCTGTGTTTGGTTGGGGGATTTGGAAAGGGAAATGGAAAAGGTATGTGAAATGTGAATAAAATATGCTTATATTTCACCTAGTTTCACACACCTTTTCCTTTTTCCTTTCCAAATCCCTTCTTAAATCCTCTAACCAAACACAACATTAATGTAACTATGTCAAAACAATGAGGCTGCTTGTAATTTTTTTCAAACCTTATAAAAAGGTAAATATAATTTATCCATTGTAAAATTATATTTTTGCTCATTAGTTTAGATTTTCACCATTATCGATTTAGATGAATTGTCTCCAATTGAATCGTATATATTGAAATCAAATACTTTAAGATTAAACAGATAAAATTGATAATTTAAAAATGAAATAGAAAAAATAAAGGATACAAAGTTAAAAAATCCAAACCCACCTTTGTATATTATAGTTTTTTTTTTTGTTTATATTAACAAAAAAAAATTAAATTAAATCTAAACAAAAACTTGTTTAGTATCTATTTTCATTTTCAAAAACTTATAAACAATTTACAAAATTTACTAAATTTTTATAATCATAAAAAAGGGCAAATTACATATACTCCCTCGAGATTTAGCAAAATTACAGATACCCCCTGAGGTTTGAGAAATTACAGATACTCCCTTGAAGGTTATATTTGCATAACAAATTAAGGAGCAAATTGTTATGAAAATATAAATCTCAGAGGGGGATCTGTAATTTTCAAAGCCTCAGGGAATATCTGTAATTTAACTAAACCTAGAGGGAGGTATATGTAATTTGCCCTAAAAAAATTCACCTATTTAATTTTTTTTACCCCCTTCACCCACAACTCATTATCACCATCGACTAGTCCCACTTCCAACCATCGTCGGTGACATCTTCCGACAACCATCTGCAGCCATCTTCTCTCACCGATAGCAACCACCATTGGTCACCACATCACATCTGCGGCCACATTAAGTAACCACTTGGAGCGATGAACCACCATCTCCAATCGTCAACAATCACCCTCGACTACTACCTCTAACCACTGACAACTACCTCTAGCTACCGCCAATCGCCTCTGACAACCAATAACAACCTCCAATCAACACCTTTGACATCCAATAACCACATCCAACCATAATTTGCGATTGTCAACAACCGTCTCCTTTCACGTGATCACCATTTCGACTTGTTTTCAAGAAAAAAATTCCCATAACATGTGTACTAAATATGTTTTTATTTTCATTTTTATAAAAAAAAAATTCATAAACTTGTTTATTAATATCTGTAAATAAAAAAAATATAAATTGTAAACTTTTACAAAACACAACTAATTTTCCTTACTAACTAAAATTTGTTTTTTCTTAAAATTACCAACGAATGCTCTTTTTGCTTCCACTCACAACTTGATAAATATTCGCGTCTCGATGCTCTACTTTGGTGTTTTGAGGTACCCCCTTTCTCCCTTCTCCTCAAGTGTACTCAACCGAAGCTGCTCTCTCTCTCTCCCTCCCCATATTTATGTACTTAAATGATTTTATGGTACACATAACGATTATTATTTTATTTTTTTGGGGGTTAAATTTGCTGTGGTTTGAATCTCCAGGTTCAAAATTTGAAAAACGAGGTCTGCAGGAGTACAGATTTTGCAGTAAGAATCGCTTCTGCTTCTCACATTTAAGTTTCAGTTGTATTTTCAAAAGGGTTTTTTTTCACATTTTACACTTGAAATGTTAATTTTGAGATTCATTGTGTTTATTATGTACGGTTAAAGTGACCGATTATCCTAACCTATAAGCAGATTTGCCCAACAATATATCAAACTATCCAACACAACCCTGACCTAAACTGAATGGGTACACAAGCACAAACAGTACAGAGTGCATAATAATTGGAACCTATGAAGCACGGGTGTGGGTAGGTCGATATGATAAAATCTGTGTGGGTACGTCGATATGATAAAATCTAAAAAACGTAGATACGGGCGAGGCTGGTATGTTTGTAAAAAAAATTATTTTTAATTTGGAATAACACACAAAAATTAGTTAAATAACTTGGTTTGTTGAGATCCAATTTACAATTCACATCTAATGAAGGTGTAAACAAAAATTAAATGTTATTATATTAAATAATTTACAAATCATAATTTAATTTTAAAATCATGCTAAGCATTAACATAAATAAATAAAGTCTAATGAAATTTGTTTTACCTTTTTATTAGATGAAAATATTGTTTTAACTAAGGTACAGTATGATTTAGATATACACTAGCTACGTTTGGATACGGCAAAAATTAAAAAGAAAAAATTTGATACATGTTTTGTGTACCTGGTATGTATATAGAAGTACTATACGAAGTACCGATACTCGGTGCAGGTAGGGTTACAGGATATTTGTCCAAATACCCATGCCTCATAGATTGGAACAAACACTTATCACAAAACTTAAAACCCAAAACCCCCTTTAACCAGGTTAGGAAATAGACCCGAAATGTATATGAAGGTATCCAACGTATTCATTGGTATCCATATATAATTGTGTTGAGAAAGCAGTTGGTGGTAAAGGCTAAGATTTGGGACTTTTGAGTAAAATTTGAAATTATGCTGATATTGAGCTTGAAACTGTAGTATAATATAAGCAAACCATGGGTATCTAGGCATGGAAGTCACATGTTTGATAGAAATTCCACAAGAGTATGGGATTTTTTTTATGACAATATTAACTTGTGGATGCATAAGATCATCCAAAACCATGTGCATTGGCTAAGCTTAGGGAGAGTCCAACTTGAGACTAGTTCTTTCTCAGCCATGATCTTGGTGAACTAATCCATGTGTGTAGGCACTTTTAGTTTGAACATCTTTTTTTTTATTATTATTATTTTTGGATAAATTTTAGTTTGAACATCTTTAAGTTACTTGTTATTTATGTAGGCATTAACTAGTAGCTGAAGGTGTATTTTGGGTTGTTAGGATCATGGAAGTAAAGGCCAGTAAAGGGTCGAAGTTCAAACTGTGCTTGCTCAAAGATTTGTAGTGATTGAGTTAGGTCATTTGTTTAACATTGTGATTGTCTCCTTTTAGGTGTTTTTTCCCTGCCTTTTCCGAGTTATTCTCATGCAATATGTATTGTAGCTTCCATAAGATAGAATTAAACTTGATAGTATTTCAATAATTGCTTGCATTTCCCAAGTTTGATATTGTTTGACCAGTGTGTCGCAAAATAACTGGCATCTAGGTAATTTTTTTAAATAAATTTATAATTTTCCACCGATGCTATTTTGAGTGTGTAGATGGTCATATCTACGAGTCACATGTCACCTGAAGGACTTTACGAAGGTTTTGGTTTAGTGGGTCATGAGGGAGAGTTAAGGGATGAGGGAGAGTTAAGGGTTGATGCCACAGAGACTCCATCACATCTTGTGCTTAGATGTACACTTTTAGCTATGCAAGAATTTATCTGTTGGAGAGAATGAGAAAGAGGCTAGTGATATGTGTCCCTCTCATATGGACAACTTATTGGGCACGTCTCCTAACTATTGGTAGCCCTTGCACGTGTATAGGTTTTATATAGGACCTTGTCTATCTATACCTTATATCTTATTTATTGATTCTTAGTCAATTATGAGATTTATTCTTTCTATACTATGTTCTTGTATTTTATCTCTATGTTATCTCTCTCTCTATTGATTAGTGGAGGCAACGGTGAGGAAGTGCGATAGGACCATGGTTGATGGAAACACTAAGGGGAGGGGAAGACCTAAATTGACAGGGGATACTATAGTAAAGAAGAGTATGAATTTATTTGATTTAAGTCAACATATGACCCTTGATTGAGCAGAATGGAGATTTTTTTTTTTATATAACCGACCCTAGTTGATTGGGACATGACATGAGGCTTCATTTGGTTTGATTTGGTTTATCTTATTTTTTCTTCTTATATATATATATATACTGAGAGAGAGAGAGAGAGAGAGAGAGAGAGAGAGAGAGAGAGAGAGATCTATGTTTTTGGATACATATATTTTCTCTATTCATACATATTATTGCTCTCTATCTCTCTACTAGTTTCTTATACATTGCACTACCTCTCTCTTCTGCTTTCCTCAATTCCCTCTCCATCAAATTACACCCCCTTCGAATCTCCCTGGTTTGGACATATGTGTCTTGAGCTCCTTCACAGTTCGAGTCTTCAACAATCTACAAAGTGGTTTCATCTGATGCATCACTTGAGGACTGGTTTAGTTAACATATTTATTTATATTTTCCATGTGGTTTGACCAGATTTTACCCCCCTAAATGGGACATGACTTCCTTGATCCTTTTGCACTTCAAATGTAAATTAAGAGGTTTTGAGTTGTTACACTTTGTGCATTATGCCAAAGGTGTGTACTCAATCTTTCCTCACCCAAATGCGCATTAATGTGTATTAATTGGGCGTTGTTTTTTTACACTTTTTACCTTTTTTAAACAAAGGGCAAAAGAGAAGCCTTCTTCTTGGATTGGCCACTACATCTAATCTGTTGAATTTATTATAAGTTATCTTTTTCCCAAAGCATTTGCCTAAAACTTTTCTTTCTTCCCTTTTTCAAAAGCTCTATTGTTATTGAATATAGAAATTAGAGTACATAGAATATTTTTATTTTTAGTATTATGTATATAATCTGTGATTGTGTCAATCACTGATTTAATATTGTTTCCTTATTTATATCATTTTGTAAATTGTATCATGGATCTATTATATATACATGGCCTCTACCTCATTCATGGGTAAGCCAAATAATTCTTTTCATTCTTTTTTGAAATCCTATTGTTAGGGTTTCAATCAAATGATATCATTTTTTATGGTCCTCCTACTTTTACTATAACATAATGAGTTTCTTTAACTTTCTTTAAATACAAAGCTCGGTTTCTCACATCTTACAATGATTTCTTTGTATCTGTACCCTACAATTCAAAACAAGTTTTGATGAACTAATGTGACATTTGGTGTAATTTAACAAGTCATAGTTATTTTCTTCATTGAAAATGTAAGGCTTGAGGACTTGTAGCAATTTAATGTAAATATATACATATATATTTGCAATATTGGTTATTATTCTGATTTGTTTCTCTCCGACAACAATGAGATGGTACCATGTAGAAAACAAATAAGTGAATGTTGATTAGTCATCTCAGATTTGTGAAGGAGTTTGGTTAATGAACTACTGAGGAGTGAGATGATCTAGTTTTAAAGTGGGTCAATGAAGATGAAAGTGAAAAAGACGGAAGTTGAGTGACAAGAAAAGGAAAAAAATTAAAATTAAAAATAAAAAAAAATTGACCTATATCTCTGCTCAAAATTTGCGTTGTATTTGGTGGATGGGTTAAATAAAAATTATGAATTGGTCATAGAGTTGAGTTGGTGTTTTGTTGTTGAGGGAGCTATGAAGCATGGACACCTCTCTGGAGGTCACGTACGAGTGTCCGACACATGTCGGACACGCTGGAAAGAGTAGGACATGCTGGGACACTTGGGACACAACACGTTGAGGGCATGCTAGGAACACGTTGAGGACACGTTAAGGACACGCTGAAGACTATATTTTTTAGAAGAAATTAAAATTTTTAATTTTTTTATTAAAATAGCATACCTAAAGTTGATAAATTTGATAAAATTAAATATTTGACATAAAATACATATTAAATATTTAAAAACATAACATATAATAAATATATAAAATTATATTTTTCGCACATGTCCCCAATATGTTGTGTCCTGCATTTTTTAATAATTAACTTGTCCGCGTGTCCGTGTCATATCACGTGTTCATGTCCATGCTTCTTAGTGAGGGATAAGACTGGAATAATTGCTTGGTTATCTCCGGCTTCTTTCCTGCTTCAACATTTATTGCTTGCTTTATATCAATGATGCTCCTGCTACAAATATTATGTTATCTTTTCCATAAGAGGTTTTTGATCAAATCCCTCTCTAGTTCCCTTATTAGGTGTGGTTTTATACAGTGGTAAAACAACACTTATTGGTCTACTCCTATTTATTTGCATCGTATTTACTTGTTAATTGTAATTGCTATCATTTTGCTCTAGTTTGAACTTGTTGCCCATGTAAATTTGGTTTCTTTTAACAATGACAAATTCTTCTACGATGTTGGTTGGGATTGTTGTGCCTCAAATTTGCAGTGTCAACACATTAAAATATCAGCTTGGCTTCATAAATCATTTTACCTTTGAAATTTTTTCCATTAATTTGCAATGCTATTAAGAATATCTTCCTCATGAATATCGTTGTTTGTCTTGCTGTTTCAGGGCTTTGTGTATAACCATATTTATGTATAAAGGAAAAACATTTTTATATATTGTTTCTTGTTAGCTGTGTAAAAAGTAAGCTGAAGAGCTATGCAGAAGGAACATGGCAGTGCCCCAGCAGCAAATACTGGACGGCTTCGGCATCGTAAACGCTCAAATGAGGTTGGTAACTTTGTTTTACAATTTATTTACTTACTGCAATCTCTTATAGAAAAATACAGTCATCCTTGTTCGTTGCAAATATCTATAAAATAATGCTTAACCTTACAAAACTTGATCATTAGTACTTTATTGAGGAAAGCTAAAATCTATCTTGTTGCTTGGGCTTGGGGGTTCTTCTTCTTCATGAAGCCATGGGTGTTGATTTTTAGAACAAGACAGTTGGAAATGGTTGCTTTTTAGAAACTTTTTCTGGTTATCTACTACGATAAAAAAATATTGTAAGGGATATACCATGTATGGCTTCTTCTGAATGATAGGGGTTAATGTTTTTCTGTTCTCTTTTTTCTCGGTTGGCTGTCAGGTTCCTACAGAGGATAGCAAAGAAAATGGAAGGCATTTACTTATTAATGATCAAAGCAAATACAGATCAATGTTGACTCGTGTATATTCATCAATTTGGATGATTGGGGGCTTTGTACTCATAATCTACATGGGTCATCTCTGTATTTGGGCCATGGTGGTTGTTATCCAAATTTTCATGGCAAAAGAGCTGTTCAATCTACTCAGGAAAGCGCATGAAGATAGTCACCTGCCAGGATTTAGGCTATTGAATTGGTATGTTAAAACAGATTCTTGTAGTGAGTCAACCTTATCAACTGAAGTTTGGTGTTTCTCTGGGAGAGTCAATTCATGGAGAGAGCTCATTACTTGAATGAATGATGACTACTGAGCTGTTCTTTAATTCCTTGGTGTATCAGACCTGCTTTGCACAATTCTAGCCGTCTTGTTTGGATAAGTACACACTTTCTGTTAGTTTTAAGTTGGGAGCTTTTAGGCAACAATTCTTTGAACTGTTAACTTTGGCGCAACTATATAATACGTAGCAAAACATGTATCTTTTTGTTAGTGTATCAGACCTACCTGCCTTGCACAATTCTAGCCATCTTGTTTGGATAAGTATGCATTTTATGTTAGTTTGAAGATGAGCGCATTTAGGCATCAGTTCTTTGAATTGTTAGCTGGTGCAACTGTATAATGCTTAGCAAAACATGATGTATCTTTTCAACTGGTAGCTTGTACTTGTCTGACCTGTTTTTGAGGTTTGCCAATGTCCACAATATTTCTGTCATGATCTCTAAGTGTTTGTTGCTAAAATATGATAGGTTACTCCTGTTCGTGTTAAATTTCAACTGTTTGTTTCCAGGCACTTTTTCTTCACTGCTATGCTGTTTGTATATGGCCGCATTCTCAGTCAACGGCTTGTCAACACTGTTACATCTGACAAATTCTTATATCAACTCGTGAGCATTTTTATCAAGTATCACATGGTTACCTGCTATTTCTTATATATTGCAGGTGAGTTATTTGTTATGTTTATTCTTCTGCAATGGGTTTGAGGAATCTTACCCGTTGCAGATCTGTATCTTGATTGTAAATTATGTCTTTGGAAACAAATAGGCATGATTCATTATGCATGGAATTTTGATCCTATTCTGTTCTATTTTGTTTTCGTAAATTACACCGTTCTCTACTGAGGTTTGGAGAAAATACACCAACCCTCACAGTTCTAGCATAATTACAATAACCCCCTTTTAGAGGTTGTTTGGCATGATCTATATTAGCACACTTTTTTGTTTTTGTTTTTGTTTGTTTTTTTTTTTTAATCTTTTTTGAGTCACATCACCTCTCTATTTTTTTGCACATTTTTTCGTAAAAAGTCAAAAAGTGCACTTATTTAGATCATCCCAAACAACTAGTAAGGATAAAGGGACTGAAACTAATACAAATGGTGTGAAGACACGGAAATAAACAAAGTAAAATATACACTTCAGTGTAAAGAATATGACGACAACATTTTTTTCATCCATATGCCTAATGAATAATTGATGAAGAGGGGACTACGTGCTATGCGAATTAAAACCTTGTGGGAACCCAATATAATTATGCCAGACTTGTGAGGTAACCATATTTTCTCAAAATCTCAAGGGAGGTTAGTGTAATTTACCCTTTTTTTATATGCTTTTTTTTTTTTATGACTGGGTGTCCGAGCCAGCTTATGCTCACCTCGACTAATCCCGGGACTCAGGCAAAGTATCTTCTCCGCGTGGATCAGGCAAATCTTGGGCAGAGCAAGCGGGCGTGGCCCCAAGGAGTTGAATACTTCATGTATACGGGGTCGTGTTTTGCTGAATACTTCATGTATACAGGCCTTGTTTTTCTGAATACTTCATGTATACAGGGTTGTGCCCTCTTTTTGTTGGCTGCCTTTAACAAAATTGTTTATATTGCCTATCAAAAACGAAAAAAGAAAAGGCTTCTCTGTTATGTTACTGGTTTATTGCTGTTAGTATAGTATTTCCCTGACATCATTTGTGATTCCTTTCTGCTGAACTCAGGTTTTATGTGGTTCATTCTCACACTAAAGAAGAAGATGTACAAGTATCAATTTAGCCAATACGCATGGACACACATGATTCTAATTGTGGTGTCCACACAGGCCTCCTTCACAGTAGCCAACATTTTTGAAGGAATTTTTTGGTAATGTATCTTAGAAACTTTTTTGATTTTGTAGTTATATCAAACTCTAATGTGTAACCCATTATGTTGTTGGTGTACTGTTGTTTGATACTGTGTACCCTTCATGTAAAATACATTTGGGAGGGGGCTTTACATGCTCTTATCTGTCCTAGTCTTGTTTCCTGAATTTTTTTTCTATAATTGAGTAACAAAGTGATCAGGCTAAGGGGCATGAAGGCTTTAGTTGAAATGGGAAACAAACAATCACACACACTTACACACAAAGCATACCAAAAAGAAGGAAAAAGAACAGAAAACTAGAAGGCATTTAAGTATCACTTGAGGTGATAGCAATAATGGTCCTGTTTTTTTTCCCTCCTTGGAATTTTGGGAATACATAACCACTGCATTCAATTTCAATTTTCCATTTTTGTCTTCTGTGAGTAATTGACATTTATGCACCATGAGTTTTTTGCATTTCAGATGGCTTCATTGTGTGAGTGCCAAGTTTTTGGAATTCTATATTGTTTCTTCTTTGTTCTTCCTCCCTACCCTGTTTCAATGTGAGAGTATTGCTCTTGAATAAGAAAAAAATTAATTATGTCTTCGTTTTTAACACAGGTTTCTTCTTCCAGCATCACTTATTGTTATCAATGATATTGCTGCTTATTTCTTCGGTTTCTTCTTTGGAAGAACCCCTTTGATCAAGTTATCTCCGAAGAAAACATGGGAAGGTTTCATTGGAGCATCTGTTACAACTATCATCTCTGCATTTATGGTGAGCACTCCTTTTAAGTGGGAATGAGAAGCACTTTAATTTTGAATGCACATATTGATTGTTGATTAGTATTGGAAGGTACATTACTTTGAGAGTAGATCTCATTTTATAGTATAGTTTTGACTTTTTATTGGGTTCCAACTCCATCCTGATAAACTTTTATTTTCCCTTCTCTACGGATTCCAAAAAAATGGGCTGCCTTGCATTGGTCTCACAGATCCTGTATTTCTATTCATATCTAACCATAAATAGTGTATCATGACTCTAGCAGTCACAGTTAAATTATGTCAGAATTTCTTTTTAAATCTGCTGCGCAGTCTTAGTGCTTGTGCCTTTTTCGTTAGATTTCGTTAGTCAATGTTAATTCACTAAAAAGCATATTCATTCCATGCATACATATTAAATAAAATGCAGAAGACTCAGTATTATACTTGTGTTTATGAGATTTTGCAATGTCTATTGTTCACACAGCTTGCAAATATTATGGGTCGCTATGAGTGGCTAACATGTCCAAGGAAGGTAAACGTTATGATTCAATAATATGGCATTTTTATTTAAAAACTTGTGTCCAACATTGAAGAAATTTGTCTCTGTTCCCATGGTGGTAATATATACAGGATTTGTCAACTCGTTGGCTTCATTGTGATCCTGGTCCGTTGTTCAAACCGGAGTACTTCACTTTACCAGTGTGGGTTCCTAAATGGGTAAGAGAACACTAACTGAACATATGTGCACCAGAATTTTCACCAACAATTTGCTTTCCATTACCAAAGTTTCTATACTTCGAATATAAGAGATGTCTCCACATTTCCATTTTCTGCTAAGCCATTCTTCATTAATTAATTAAATTGACCTTGATGGGTTGGGAGGTGGAGCCTACAAATTTGTTTTTGGAAAAGCTGCATGGACAAATGCTTGAGAAGGGGATTGTTCAAGGTCGAAGCCTCACAAGAGTAGGACATTCTGTGTGTTCTTGATATAGGAACTAAGGGATGTTGGTCTGTCCAATTTTCATTGGAAAAGGATGTGACCTACGAAGGCTCCAATGAAGGTTGCTTTTTTTGCTTTGACTGCCACTTGGGATGCTATTTTCAAGATTGATAACTTGAGATGCTGGGAAATGTCCTCGTGGCCTGGTGTCAGCCAATTTTTGTTGCATGATGGAAGAGTTTGTTGCTTGTTGGAATAAAGGTTGAATTAAGAGTATGTGAGGAAAATGTGAGAGGTGGCCCCTTGTGCTTAATGTGGTGCATGTGGTGGGAGAGGAATAGAAGATGTTTCCAAGTGTTAGATGTTCCAGCTCATAAGCTGTTAGGAGTTTTGTTGTCCACATTGCATTCTTGGATTTTGATCAGAATGCTTGTGTGTTTTCATTGGACTTTTGATTAGAATGCTTGCATTCTTCTCTATACCTGTGTATTTTGGCTGCACCCCCTTCCTTTTTTTGCAATTTTCATTTACTTATATATGAAAAAATATAATGCTTTAACATTTGTCATTTTCTTCTGCAGTTTCCTTGGAGAGAAGCCCAGGTTTTACCTGTTCAATGGCATGCGGTGTGGCTTGGTCTTTTTGCATCAATAATAGCACCTTTTGGAGGTTTTTTCGCAAGTGGTTTTAAAAGAGCCTTCAAGATTAAGGTTGTCTATTGTTTTTCATTCTATAAATTACTGTAGATGGCATTGAAGGTCACAGATGTTGATTCTATTTTTTAAATTTCTTTCTTGTTTCAGGATTTTGGTGATAGTATTCCTGGACACGGTGGAATGACTGATAGAATGGATTGCCAGGTAAGCTGTACAAAAGGTTGTATAATTTTTGTACTTGGGTGAGGATGGAATTTACTGCCAGGTGACAAGCCAGGAAAGGAAAAAAAAAAAAAATTCTAATTGCTTGTCACGTGCCCCTTTGGTTACGACTAATGAGCTTATTATCCCATGAATTTTTTATTTTGGAGAAAAAAATGTTATTCCATCTGGTCTGAAAAGATTGGCACGTTTTAAAAATAAACATCTAACAGAGATACATTACTAATCTTACGTATTTAACCTATTGAAGTTTATGTTTCCCATACCATCTTCCCTATTTTGGTGCTAAATATGTGGGAGAGATTCTTTGGCCTTGAAGGGGCAATGTGACAATACGATGACAGGAAAGACAAAATTCAATAAGAGGCCTCTCTTTGCCAGATCACAACACAAGTTCATCAATATACATTGTTTTGTGTTTTTCAATATTGTGACATCCTGTGGTATTAAAAACTAGGATAAATTGTAGAGAATGAATGAAAAATAAGCATAAATAGTACAAATAGGGAAAAAATTAACTAAGGTTTATGGATGGACTGAAAAACCATAAGTAAATTTCACGATGTTTGCACTAAGCTATTTTCAAGTCAAACTAAAAGACGCAAATTGAGGAGCTTTAGATTCTTCTTCTTCTTTTTATTTTTAAAATAAGGAAATAAATTTTAAGAAAAAGACACAAGGGGGTACAGTGTAAGTATACCAAGTCAAAACCTCTATACAACTCAAGTACCTAGAGTGTCAACAAAATCCAAATATGTGTCGGGGGTGTTGATCCTTGACCCAAAGATCTATTTTTTCCTTGATATAAATTGAGATCCCCAAATCCTCAAAAGAACATCTATGTTCATCCTTGACCCAAAGATCTATTTTTCCTTGATATAAATTGAGATCCCCAAATCCTCAAAAGAACATCTATGCACTTCATGTCGAAGATACCACATTAGACACAACAGAGTATCCATCCAAGCCTCCTACTTGCCCTCACTTTACCCCTTTCCAACTCTAATATTGTTAGAATTTACCATACCCCACTCCACCTACCACCTCCACTAACACTCACTCCACCTACCACCTCCACTATCCCTTCACCTACTACCTTCTTCTCTTCTATATATGAATCATTGTAAACAGAATGTAAAACAATCAATACATCAGATATCAATCAATAATACATATATTTTTACAAATATAAATCCTACATTGTGGTTGGGAACGCCCAACAAATGTCAAACAAAGTCAAACACCTACAACCATATCTCCCTAGCCACCCTAGATAGAATGAATTAAAAGATGATCCACGGAGTAGCTATCTATGAAGCACATATACTTTTAGAAGGGAGTCTTATCCATATCATACCTACATTGGATACAAAGACTCACAGATACATAGTTGATACTTCTTAAACATATCTGATACTTGATATTATTTTTAATAACTATTGGATACTTTTCTTCGGACACTTTAGATCACATATTTGAACTATTATGAAATTGATATTATAATAATTTTTGCATAATATTAGAATATAATTGTTATAACTTATAATAAATACAAGAATAGTTTTTCAATAAATATTTATTTATTTATTTATATATATATACCAATTAAGAAAAAAATGGGATTAAAGTAGTACTTTACTTTTTTTTTTCAGAATTTAGCGAATTAACATATCCTTAATGTGTCATGCATGTTTTTATACGAAATCAGATTTTGACAATTAGATAAGCAATTAAATTTCTGCAGCCGGATCCATGTTTCATTGGTAGCCATTCAAGAGTCCTACTCACCATCACTATACCCATTTCCAACTCAGAATTAAATCCTACATTGTGCTAGGGAATGCCTGACAAATGTCAAACAGAGACAACACCAACACTCTTTATCTCCCCAACCACTGTAGATAGAATGAATTAGGAGATGATCCACAGATTCTCCTTCCTCCTTACACATATAAGTATACGACACCAATTAACAATTATTTTCCTCTTGTTAATAAGAATGTCCATTGTGTGAACCCTCCCATGAGTTGCTCGCCATCCCAAAACAAAGGGCCAACTTGGGAGGGACTTTTATTTGCTAAATGACTTTATTCTGATTCCCACACACCAGAGTGAAGTCTTATTTTTTCCATTTCACAAACTTAGGAGACTGAAGTTTTTTTATCCGAGTAATAGATTTTCACTCTTAGTTTCAACCTCAAAATTTGTAAATCTAAGTCAGAGAAGTTGGTTTTATCAGCCAAAGAAATCGTGAAAGGTCAGGGGAAAGGGATAGAAAGCACTTATCTGGAGAAGAGGAAAGAAGGGAGCAGAAAAGTGTTTTGGTACTACAAAAGTTATCTTTTTGACTCTATTATTATGCAAGACATACTTCAAGTTTCAAAATGGTCTGCCTAAAACTATATTATCAACCAACATGGTAGTTACATGGACTTGGCCGCTTAGTATATGTCTAAATGTTTGATTCATTTAATTTTCATGGCGAGAATTTAATATTTCTTAATATACACTTCTTATTTTTTTTTTCCTTCTTTTTTTCCTTTCTTCCTTGGGTAAAAATGAAGCTGACAAGGTGATATAGAGCATTTCATGCATAATAGGAGTGTTTTAGATATAGTTTTGTGGTAAACTTGAATAATTAAATATGCTTGCTAGTTGAATGTCTACACATGTTGGACACAATCCCATACTCTTATCCAAGTATGGAGTGTCCGAGATGGATAATTCATAGGCCACGTATGAGCATTGTCCAGGGCAATTATAGTGCATGATTACATCTTCTATCTCAATGATCTGATCTTTTCTTTCTTGTTTTCATTCTTGGGCTTGTGTTCTGCACGTGCCTGCGTATTTTGGGTGTCTTAGTAATAATAGCTAAAAAGCCAAAAAGTTACTAAAAAAGCTAAAAAGTCAGAATTATACAAAAAAGTCAAAGATTCTGTTTCCTCTCTACTTTTTGCACATTTTTTTTCGTAAAAAGTCTAAATATCCCAAATATATTAAATTTTTCACCTCATATTTTTGCCAAAAACCCAAAATGTTATTAAAATAGCCTATTCACAAACCAACCACTAGTAGATTTGGATTCATATTAACCACGGAACAAAGTTCAGATCAAGCAAACATCTCTTGGTCCCTTGCCCTACCATTGAAAGTTATCCTAGCATATCTTAAAGGTGATTATGACCATATGTTTATATAGTTTTCGAGGGTTAATAATAATTGGTTTCTTGGTTTGGCTTTGTAGTAGCTTCCATATAAGATGGATGATTGGTTAATTTTTATTCTCAATACATAATACGACATTCATATATATATATATATATATATTTTTGGGATAAATAATCATACTTTATTAAAGAAGTATTAAGACGATGCAAAGAATACAAAAAATGGGCTCCACAAAGGACCCAAACCGAACTAACTAAGCAAATCCATCACAAACAAAACTAACTAATCAAATCCTCCACAAAATCTACAAAAACCAAAACATTTAGATCAATCGAACGTATAACCCAACTATGAAGCACCATAAGAAGCCGGCTCTCTAGCCAAGGAACTAAATGAGACACCCCGAAAAACACGCCTATTATGCTCCAACCAAATCAACCACAGTAAATAATGGGAAGCCAACAACCAAGCCTTATGACGCCTTATCCCAACCCTACCCCCTATTCAACTCTACAACACCTCTAACATTGAGCCCAGTTGCATCCAAACTAGACCAAAAGTTGCAACAATCAACATCCAAAGCCGAGACGGAATTAGACAATGAATAAGCAAATGATCCACCGACTCTGCATTCCTACAACATAAATAGCACTAATTGACCAAAATATGTCAATGGCGAGTTAAATTATCAGTAGTCAAGATACACCCTAAGACCGCGTCCAAACTAAACTTTGGATGTAGTCCTCACCACCCAAATACACTTCTAAGGAAACGGGACATTATCTCCACCCGCAAGCACAAAATAAAAGGACGACACCGAAAAAACTCCTTTGGACTTTGGACAATCCCATACTAGAGAGTCCACCTTAACCCCTCCATACTGCACACCATATAAAAACCCCAGAAGATCCACCAATTGATCCAACTCCCAATCCTGAATAGCACGATGCAAATGAACATTCCAAACAAATGACTGCCCTTGTCTCACCCTAACAGAAGCCACCACCTCCTTAACATCAGGTGCAATACCAAATATCAAAGGAAACATTGTAGCTAAAGTTTGCACCTCACCCAACCCGTCCTTCCACAATCGAACCCTATCCCCCACCCCTACTTTAAACCTAACCCTCCAAAACTCTCCCGACCTAATCAAATCTCCTTCCACAAACCTCGACCATGAATTGGCCTGCCCTTCCCGAGCACCACCCTCCTGCCCAAATCATACTTCTCCATCACCACCTTCCTCCACAACCGGTCCCTCTCCCTTACAAAGTGCCACAATCATTTCCCCAAAAGAGCCACATTAAACGTAACCAAGCGCCTAACTCCCAAACCTCCCAAACCACCCCTTTAGGAACACAAATCCTATACCAAGCTACTAGATGATAATGAAACCCTTCCTCCCCACCACTCCACAAAAAATCCCTTTGCAACTGCCACAAGAATCGCATGCACCGACATGAAATAAGTCGGAATACTCATAAGGACGCTCTTGATCAACGTGATCCGCCCTCTTTTCGACAAATACTGCCGCTGCACATGATAAACCACCCCATCCCAAACCCTTTTCACCTTAAAAATGGAACCCAAAGGTAACCCCAAGGAAGAAACCGGTAACGTAGCCACCTTGCACCCTAAAATAGCTACCAACACTAGAAGCCGGGCCACCTTACCCACCGGAATGAACTCTGACTTTGTTAGTTTACTCGAAGCCCCAATATAGCCTCAAAACCCAGAAGCACATGCCGCAAATGACTAATTTGATCTGCATCCGCATCACAGAAAATAAACACATCATCCGCATAAAAAAGGTGAGAGACAACCAGGAGAGTAAGACTTGTCCCCACTACAAAGCTCGCCAACAGGCCCCCTTGAACTGCTCAGAATAATAAACCACTCAGAACTTCCATCACCAAAATAAACAATAAAGGTGACAAAGGATCACCCTAATGTAAACCCCTCCATGTCAGGAAAAAGCTTTCCGGTGTCCCATTAACCAAAGTCGACATCCGCACAGTAGATATATAAAACTAAATCCATCTTCTTCATATATCCCCAAGACCCATCCTTTCCAACACAATAAAAACTTCTAATTCACATTGTCATGCGACTTCTTAATATCCAATTTACAGATAACCCCCTCGATGCAAGATGATTAGGACGGCAGCAAATCTGGGCTTTAGGATTGATTTTAATTGGGTTTTATGGCTGAAATTGCAATAAGAGTATAGGGTACAAGTAGGGTTTGTTTAGGGTAATAAACGGGCAAGAGTTTAACCATGAAAGATGAGATTGTTTAGGGACTATGAAAAGTATCCGTGAACAGTGTTATGGGCTGTTGAATGTGCAAAAAATAAAATAGAGAAAGGAGAAGAAAAAGATAGATTTAGGAATCACTCTTAGAATCCCTTAGGTATCACACCTAAGGTTTGATTGCATCATACAATCCATAAAGAAGCTTCAAAAGCTCTTCAAATTCTTTAAAATATTAACTCTATTGAATTAAAAGCATTACATAATTTTATGTCAACTTTAGAGACTTTCTAAACTAACTAGAACCAAAAAAGGAAACTACTTTAATAACTTAGACTTCCAAAACTAATTTAAGATCAAATAAAAAACCTAAATAAAACCCAATTACATAATTTGACCCCCAAGACAACCCATGGATGACCCCTACAATCCATGACAACAATAATGAAAATTACCAAAATACTCGACCTAAAAATTCTAGAAATCATGATATAAAATTCTAATAATACTAGAAACATTATTATATAAGATTCCTATTAGGATCTCTTTAAAATCATGCCAATGTCCAGATATCATCATTTCCTTGAATTTGGCCGTCCTTGAACTTTTTATATTCTGCATCACTTTCCTTGCTGGATTCTTAAATCTCCACACTCATTTGACATAAGCACAGCATCCAAAATCTGCCGCCCACCGACAAATGCATTTTGGGACTCTGACACCACCTCCTCCAGAACACACCGGAGCCTATTGGCTAATAGAACTTTAGCCAGTAACTTATAGACACTGCCTAAAAGACTAATCAGGCAAAAATCTTGAATATCCTCCACCCCTTCCTTAGAAATCAAAGCAATAAAGGTCGCATTAAAACTCTTCTCAAATTGCCCCGTTTGATGAAACTAATCAAACATGGCCATAACCTTTGCCTTCACCACCCCCCAACACTGCTGGAAAAAGGCAATAGAGAAATCATCAGGCCCTGGCGCCTTATCTCCAAGCATGCTCCTCAACACCTCCAACACCTCTGAAAAAGACCTCTCTAACAGTAGAACATCCGCCTCTGAAATAGCATCAAAAGCAACCTCCTCTGAACTTGGCTTCCACACCTCCCCTTCATCCTGGAATAAATGCTAATAAAAACCTGCTATACCTGCCCAAACCTTCTCTAACAAAACCACCCCGTTAAGACGCATCTTCCCTATTTGATGCACTCACCGATGAGCATTTGCCATCCAATGAAAGAACTTCGTATGACGGTCCCCACCCCATCCTTCAATCACAAACTTCTGGATCTTTGACAAAAGTTAATCTCCTCCATCTGACCAAACTCCTTCTGAGCCCCTTCCCAACTTCCTTCTCATCCAACCCCTGTAAGACTGAAAGGAAACACCTCCAAGTTCCACTATCTCAGGTCAGACTTTAGAAGTTTCCACTTCTGAGCTAATCGACAACTCGGCATCCCCACCACACTATAGCTGCCCCACCAACCAGCCACCCTCTCCACAAACCCCTCTGCTAACAACCACATATTCTCAAACCAAAATGGTGTCGGACCATTCCCCGGCACCCGAACTATCCAATAAAATTGGCCAATGATCAGAAACAGAATGCTGCAATCTCAATTGAATCATCTGAGAAAAGTGCTCCCAATCCCCAGTTACAAGAAATCTATCATATTGTGTTGCTGTGTTGAGTTACTATTTGAATAAAATGTCTACATATACTTTGGCATGTTTATGCTGCTAATAAACATGGATAATCTATTCCTTTTTTAAAGCGCCTGTTAACTTTTTGTTGTGTCCATTGAATCCTTTTGCTTCACACGTGCTACATAATGGTTGTTACTACCGCATTGACAAAACAAATATGGCTCATTGCTCAATCATTGTTCCAAATATGAATGGTTGAGTAAGAATTTTGCTTCATTAGTTTTCACTGTCAAGATGATGCAGCAAAGTGTTGAGTTTCAATATGTTTAGGCTGTTGTGTATTTGTGACGGGTCATGGCCTATGAAGCACGGATACGGACACGGGACACAGCAATTTCTAAAAAATAGGGACACGGACACGGCAGGGAACACGGCAAATTTTTTAATTTTTTTATAAATATTTTTATTTTAATACACATTAATTATTTTATTTATTTATTATATTTTTTAAATAATTAATTTTTTTATTAATATGTATGAGTATATATTATCTTACAATATGTATTATATATTATCTTATAAATATACTATATGTTATGTAATAACTATTATATAATATATAATAATAATAACTATTATATAATATATAATAATAATAGTTAGACCCTCAGATAAAACACAAAAGCAAGGGAGAGAGAGAAGGAGAGAGAGAGAGGGAGACAGGTCGAGGTCGCGATCGCGAGAGAGAGACAAATTGTGAAGGCGAGAGAGAGACAGATCGCGATCGTCTGGGGTGTTCGATTGTTCGATCGACTGATGGAGCTTGGAGCTTCGATCTTCGACAGGTTTGTCTCTCTTCCCTCTCTTCCTTCACACTCTCTCCTTTGTCTCTCCCTCCTTGCCGTGCCTCACGCTGTGTCCAGATCTGGACACGTGTGTCCCCTACAAGAAAAACAATTAAATTAAAGGGACACGGTAGATGGCGTGTCCCGTACGTGTCCCCGGCGTGTCCCCGTGTCCGACACCGCCACGGCGCTAATTTTGCCGTGTCTATGCTTCATAGGTCACAGCCCTTTTGCTTTGAACTATTCTTCAATTTGAATATGATTCTTAAGAACTGCATTGAATTAAAGACAAATTTGGCAGGATGAAAGTAATGTCAATCCCAAATTAGATGGGATGGGTTGGCTTGGATGTCCATTTTTTGCCGACAATCTTCTTATGTAATCTCATACATGAGAATGAAATGTCACTGTTGTTGGAATGAATAATTTGCATATGTTTGTTTAGTGTTGTGCTTAATCTGACCTGTTCATGCAGATGGTGATGGCCGTTTTCGCATACATTTATCATCAGTCATTTGTTGGGCCGCAAAGTTTATCAATTGAGATGATTTTGGATCAGGTAAGATTGTGTACTCATGTTCATGTACTCATGGATATGTTTCTCATTCAGAATCAATCAATAAACACGCGGAGTTTTATGTTGGTGGCATTTTCTGTGAATGTAGATTTTGATGAACCTCAGTTTTAAGGAGCAGAGAGCTCTGTACATGAAGCTTGGGCAGATCATCCAGGAAATGCAGTTCGAAGAGTTCTAAATTCACAAAACTGCATGACCTCTGTAATTTTTTGCATGTCTCTCTCCAGCATTCTTTGTACGAAAGTTGTTTAGCTGGAGGTGTTGATTACAGTCGACGCTCAGTGTAGTGCTCATCGACCATATCATTTTATGCATAAATTTGTAGGTGGACAGTGCATAACCTCCCTTGGAGCTTCACTCGTGCTTGCGCTTTGCTTTGTACTCGGCAGCTTTCTAATGTGTTTTGTCACTCAGGTAAACCTCTTGCTACCTGGTCAAATTGATCCAATGAACTGGGAGAGCTATTTATTGGATCAAGTCTTTCTTTGATGAAACTATCCAGATCGAAGTAGGGTGAATTCATACATACAAGTACAAGATTCAGAATTTCTTTCACTTCTAAACGATGATTATAAACAATAATTCTTCACCTTTAAATAGAGGACCTACTATTTGATCATGACACGTGAGTAAATTTTGGCTTGTTTTGGGAAGTTGGCTTAGCCACTTTTTTTTGGTTTGTAGCAAAAGTCAAAAGTTGGCTTTTTTGAAATTTTTTTCATTTGAGAAGTTGGTTTTTAGCCAATGATAAAATTACAATCCTACCCTTTATTGGTCAAAATGTATTACATGGGTGAAGTTGTAAATATTTTAAACTAAATTGGAGTAGTTTGGTCATTTTATTATATTTTGACATCATAAACAAATATTAATAAAAAAAGCCGAAAGTTACTTTTTACTAACTTCTCAAATCATTTGTCTAAAAAAGCCAAAAGCTTAGTTAAAAGCTAAAAAGTCACCTTTTACCATCTTCTCAAAATAAGTCTTTGTAACTTTTTAAACTCTAGTGCATTAATAACTTTATAACAATGTTTTAAAAATTGGACCGGTGAGCGAATTGAAAAATAAACTTGATGGGTTGCTGGTTCAATTATCAGATCAAAACAGATTGAAGCGTGACGTTATAATTATTTTATTAATATTAAAAAATATAAATATTTTTTTGATCGGTATATAAATACAAATATAGGTAATAATTTTTTTAAGCTAAAAATTACAAATTAAAATTGAATTAGTAATTTTTACATTCCTTAAATTTTAAAAAGTAATATATAATATATTATAGGATAAATTACAAACACACCCCCTGAGGTTTACTTAAATTATAAACTATTATTGTGATTTTAAAAATTACATTATGCCTCTTAGGGTTTCTGATTTCATAACAAATAAGTCATTTTATTAATAGATCATTAAGTTAATTAATAGTTTTTAATAATGTTAAAATCTTATTTCAATTAATAATTTAGATACTTTTATTATTGTATAGGTGAACAGTTATAAATTTTATTTTTTTAATTAATTCTCTTAAATAAAAAATTCTGATAGGGAGGTATTTGTAATTTTTTAAACTACAGAGGGCAATTCATATTTTAAGCAAATTTCAGGAGACGTATTTGTAATTTATCCTATATTATATATTATAGGTCCTTGATACAAATAATATATATATATATATATAATGCAATGGCAAGGGAGGCTTTACCTATATTATAGGTCATGGTTTCAAATCTTGGCAAAATTATTTGATATATAATTTTTGATGCAAGGAAACAAGAAACACAACCAGATCATTTCAACCAACTCGTGATCGGGTCAACCGGTTCAGCGGCTTAACTGCAATTTAAGAAGAATCTCATAAAATACACTAGTTTTTTTTTTTTTACCTCGGCAAAATTATTTGATATATAATTTTTGATGCAAGGAAACAAGAAACACAACCAGATCATTTCAACCAACTCGTGATCGGGTCAACCGGTTCAGCGGCTTAACTGCAATTTAAGAAGAATCTCATAAAATACACTAGTTTTTTTTTTTTTTTTTTGTAGGGCAGTTCTAGTGGTAGAGGGCAGTTCTAGTACAAATCCGAACCTGACCAAGGATTGGTCAACCCGTTAGGTGTGATTTTCAAAATTATGGTTTAAGAGTCCATTTTTAGTAGCGGGCACTAAAAATTTTTGGTGACCACTTAGCTGCTATGGCAGATACATTTATGCTTCATTAATTCGTTAATTTGTTTGTGAAAAAATAATGTACAAGTGTTGAAAAAACAAACGGCGGAAGATAAAATGGTTAAGAAAAGTAGTTAAAAACGTAACTACAAAGAATGCAAAAAAAAAAAAAAAAAAAAAAGAATAAAAAAAAAAAAAAAAAAAAGAAGCTAGTCAAAGCTCATTAATATTATTGTGCAGTGTTAAAAGGACAACGGAATGTTTTTTGTTAGAATAGTAGAGGGAGAGAGAGAGAAGTATATGAACTATATTATTAAAATCAATACAATACAATAAGAGAAACTTGTATATATGCGCCAAGAAACTCAAGTGTACAAGAAACTTAGGTGTACAAGAATCCTAAGCATAGATAAGTATACATCTAACACCTCTCCTCAAGTTTAAGGTCAGAGAAGATATCAACTTGAGCTTGGAAAGGAGATCAAAGCGTGGAGGCACGTAACACAACGCGTGCCCAACTTCTGGCGGCGCGTGTGGCGTCTGATGGAGATAATTCTGGTGGCGTTGGCTTCGTCTTGAAGAAACGAAGAAGCTAGTATAGTCCAATCATCGAAACAGGAAAGGACGAGATACGCAGAAACTAACGTGAGAAGGAATCAATCTGCCAGACAAGAAAGAAAGAAAGAAAAAACGTGATGAA